CTTTGCTGAGAAATAATGCTTACAGAAATCAGTTTTCCATTTCGTGTTTGTATTCCTCAGGAAAACTTTGGCTATATGCTAAAATAATTGAACACTAATATTCTGAAGTTGAGCATATGCTTATGTCAAAGCAGTTTTGGGAACAAGCACTGTGCAACTACCACCCACACACTCATTGTAATAAAGGTCGGAGGGAAGAAATGGTAGTCTGATCCATATTGCAGTTAAATATACCAGAATGTTACCTTTTAAAAGGTAAATTGTATAACTGCAATGTTGAATTTAAAAGCTCAAGTTTTTTGTGTTGGGAAACCTTCTATTGAGGTTTTCTAGGAACTTGGTCATATCTCATATATGTGTTATGGTAGTGTTTTGTGTGGTGGCAGAATTTTTTTTTTTTTACCCTTAAAAATCCAGCCTTGTTCAGTGCTTGAGGTGGATAGATGAAGGTGTGGTGGGCAGTGTAGCTAAGCAGATCAAGTGGTTTGCTGCCACTGATGAGGGGTAGGTTCTGCTGCTCCTCATTGCCTGCTGTCCGTTGTTTCCATGCTCTAGTTCCTGTCTGACAATGCTGTGAACTAATTCTGTTCACTACTCTAGCAGCAAAGTGAGTAGTGTTCTGCTGAGCCATCAAGATAAGTCAATTTACTGCATAATCAAATGATCATCAGTCAGGACCAGGAATGGTGCAGGACGGTGTCAGGAGCAGTCGCAGAGGAGAGTGGGGAGTTGGACTCTACCCATCTGTGGCAGTGAGCTTTTAAATTGCCCCAGCTGTAACATATATTGACATTTGAAGGCCAAACAATTATGAAAACTTTTTTTTACAGTCTTTCAGTATTCAATTTAATATTAGAATATAAGTATAATTTTCTCTACCAAATATGGTGTCCGAAGTATCTAAAAATTATTTTTCGTAAGTATGTCATTTGCTGACAATGTGCAAATGAAGTAGAGTTCTTAACAGAATTTGTTGTGTGTATCCAGTAATATAAGCTTGTGTGAATTTGAAGGCTTAAAACAACTAAGCATTTCTTGAAGTCATGTCATCTTTCAATTTCTGCTTGACATGCTTTTAAAGACCTATGTTTTAATTTTGTTGGTATGTAATTTTTGGTTTTTAAGTCTTCAGTAATATTTTGAAAAAATCTCATTTGGAATCCCTTTTCTCTTCTGACTTCTGTGTTTTATGGCTTTTTTTCATCTCCAGAAGCATCAGTAGCTCAGACCCTTAAAAGAAGAGATTCATGTGTAGTGTCTGTCCTTGGGAGACAAAATATTTTGTTTTTTCTCTATTCACTGTGGCAAGTTCAGAGGTCTATGCTACTGACCATCATAGATCTTCAGATGTTTTTTTGTTATACACCCTTTTGTTCCTTTAGTGATTGTTGCTTTCTTGTTCTCTTTAATTCAAAATTAAAAATGGCCTTAGTTCTAACCTTTATGCTATATAGTGATCCAGAGAGTTGTGTTCAGAGATGAAAGGCTGCTAGCAAATATTTATTTGGTTCTAAATTGTGTGCACTGTCTTTGCAACTTCCCATGATTTGGGAGTGTACTGATGGCATAAGTCTTATATCTGTGATCAAAAAGTAAAAGCAGTCTATATTATTAAAATATTTGTATTTAAACCTGAATAGAAAATTTCTTTTAGAGCTGGAGGGAGGACTGTGTTGGATACCAGAAAAAGAATTATTTTTATCCTGTGGTTAAGAGCGTTTTTCCCCTTCTGAAGGTTTCATGGAGATGTTGTGAAAACAAACACAGAATTATAAATGTTCTTCATTTTTAAAATGTCTCAGTTAATCCCTCTTAGAAGGTTTTGAGTATTTACGTAGGAGTATACCAAGCTAACTAAAATGTTTTTACGACTGGTTTTGAGTGCAAATCTTTTTGGATATGTTTATGTGAACTTTGCATAATTTGACACTGATTTACATTCCATTTATCTGATTTTAATTGTGCATGTTACATTGGGGTTTTTTGTTGATTCTGTCTTAAAAGCACCACTGCTGTTTGAGACCATGGCTTTGCTCGTTTAAGTGCTGTTTACTGATGATTAGAATAGACTGTTTCAGTTGAAAGGGACCTACTACAATCATCCTAGTCCAACTGCCTGACCACTTCAGAGCTGACCAAAAGTTAAAACACATTAAGGGTATTGTCCAAATTCCTCTTAAACACTTGACAGGCTTGGGGCATCAATCACCTCTTTAAGAAGCTTATTTTGTAGTTTAGGAGTTCTATAACCTTAAAAGTGGGGGTTTGATTGTTTTGTTTTGGTTTTTTTGCATAGCTGCATCTGTGAAATACTTTAGGTGATGGATTAAAAACCTGCCACCACATATTACAGAAGGAGTTGAGTGAAATTGACTGTTAGTCAGTAAAACTTCCTGGAAGATATAATCAAAGGCTGGGGAATGGGACAGATTGAAAGGGGAGAGGGGAGAATCTTTGTTCTTGTACTGTAGAAATGGGACTCAACAATTTGAGGTAGTTTTGCACAGATACAGATTCATAGCCATCTTTTGTGTAAGTACACATTTCAACTAGTAATAATGGAATGTAATTTAATAGCTGGATGTATAGTTTATAATCTTCAATATTTTTAAGGTTTTCTTTGGTGATTATAGACATGCTAAAGTATAAGAGCGCAGTCTGCGTCTTGCTATAGTAAATATCTTCTTGCTTTAAATTTAGAAGTTGTTGTATTGCTTGCCAGTTATATTACTTCTGATTGTACTCCAATGAATATGTTTCCATCCTTTCCCTTCCATGTATGAAGTCCCAGATCTGAGTGACTAGCCCCTACAAAAATCTGAGCTCATCGGAGAACAAGTGAAGTGGGTTGACAAGTAACCCCTGCTTCCATCTGCCTCGTCTTGCTGCAGCATTCAGTGCTATAATTCTGTATTTTCTATATTCAAACTAATGTAATGTCTGGAAGTGTTTGACTTCTTTATGATATCCATCCGTATAGCAATAATTTTCATGTTTAGAGTGAAACAGTTTTAAAATGGCAAGTTAAAGCATTTTGAAATACCTGTAGACTCTTGGATACTTTCTAGTTGTGTATTTCTGCAGTCAGGAGGAGGGAGAAAATTGTCTATTCTGTAGTCTGTATTTTTTGAGGCTTGGATTGAGACTTCTAAGCCTATAATATGGAACTTCCCACTGTCATAAATGGTTTCTTTGTTTTTATTCCCCCCCCGCCCCCCAATGGAACTGGTGCTTACGGAATGCCAGAATGTGAACAGTAGGTGATATTTCTTTTTTCAGGCGATGCCATTTTCACTCCAGTACCCTGGCACCCTCAGTGAACTATCTCAGGATTCCTCTAAGGTTGAGGTGATTGGTTGTACATGTGTTGCTGCTCTTTTTGGTCTTTCTGTGCACACTAAAGACTTTTGTGGCAGAAGGAAGATTTTACCAAAGAAGTCGTGAATATTTCATCTACTAGATGAAGCAGTCCTGTTAGAGACCCGTGCTGGTTTTACAATAAATTTAGCCTAATGAAAGGATGCTATTTTAGGGAGGATACTGTGCCTCTTGGCAGTTGAACTTGGTTAGCTAAAAGTGAAATTGTGCTCACAGAGTATGTGAATCTTATTTAGAGTGACGGGAGTCTTTGTAGCTTTTAACTGTGTATTAGCTTAAGAAATCCTAGAGCCTACTTCCTTGTTTGGGTTAACTTGTTCCCCCTTAGATAGAAGCTAGAGAGATAACTAGCTTGCCTGTGTCCACCTCAGAAATCCTGGAGTTATGTAGCTGTTGTCAGAAACCTCAGGAGGTTCAGAGGCAAGTGTCTTCAATTGTTTGTTCTCCTTTCTGTATCTGTATCTTCTATATCCAGACTTCTTAATTATCAGCATGAATGTGTGATTCTATGCACCAACTGTTGTTGGGTTTTTGTGGTTAGGTTTTTTTTTTTTAAGGACTCTTGTGAATTACTTGTGCTGAGGATTGAAAGCTGAAAATAGTCTACTACAGCATAGTAGTAGAGACTGGATCATTTAACTGCTGTGAATTTCAGATTACTTAGAAATTGTGTATTTCATTGCAAGACTAAACTTCAAAACTTCTGTGTCTGAATCTGCTGATCTTGAATTGCTTGTTGTGAATATAATTTTGTGCTATAAAATGCCTAGTAATTTGAATTATCAAACTGTGAAATTATTTCAACTACTAGGCTTTTGGGCAGTGTAGTGACAGAAGGGTTTTTTGGCTCCTGTGTTTATTACTTGCAAAAACTCCCCAAAAGCACCTGAAGGAAAACACCTTAAGACAAGAGAGAATGTTTACCACAGATATAACTTGAACACATTATCCCCAAATGAGTACTTTTTGTCTTTAGGCCATTAGTTTGTTTTCAGTTCAGCTTGCATATTATATAAACTTGAAGCTAGTTTCTGTTTTGTGAGATTTTGGTTTTTGGTGGTTGTTTGTTTGTTTTTTTTTTGTTTCTGGCTTTTATTTTAGAAAGTATGGGGTCAGTTTTTAGATATTTCCACATGTATTTCAACAAATTCTGGAAGAATGACCATGTAAAGCCACCTGACAAGGTAGACTATGGCAGTGGCAGCTTGTGAACCACTTGCTGCTGATGGTTGATACTCACTGACCGTTTGTAAACCCCTTATTTGGCACTGTTTCCTGACAACTGTCATGTAATGTCTCTGAACTTTCTAGTATAGTAATTGCTGATGACCAGTTAAAGGGTATGATTAAGGATTGTGACTCATCTTGAAAACAGCCTTGGAAAACTTGTTTTTTTTGTGATTTCTTCCCCTTCCCCCCCTCTAGCTTATTTGCCAGTCATAATGTGAACATGGCAGGTATTTCATACTACCGATTTTCAGTAAGATGCACATTGTGATCCTCAGTATTGGTCTCTGGTCTCTGTGTGCCATGGTGAGGGCTTTGATAACTTTGAATCCTGATCTTTAAATACATATTTTGTATATGAAGATACTCAAGAGATCTTTTTTCCCTCTCAACAGGTGGGAAGGAGAAACCGAAAACCAATGCAGAAGAGCTACAGATTAAAAAAGTTAAGAAGAAAAAGAAAAAGAAACATAAAGAGAATGAGAAGAGGAAGCGTCCAAAAATGTACAGCAAATCCATTCAGACCATCTGCTCAGGACTGGTTTCTGATTTTGAGGATCAGGAAGCCAAAGGCATCATAGATGATCATCTTAAGGATTTCAGTGGGAAAAATGTGGATCCCAAGAAGGACTGTGAGTCCAAGATACCAGAGAACAGTGAGTTTCCATTTGTCTCGTTAAAGGAGCCACGGGTTCAAAATAAACTCAAAAGGTTGGACACATTGGAGTTCAAACAGCTGATTCATATTGAGCACCAGCCTAACGGAGGTGCATCAGTTATCCATGCCTACAGTAATGAACTCTCCCACTTATCTCCTGTGGAGATGGAGAGATTTGCAGAAGAGTTTGTGGGTCTGGTTTTTAGTGAAAATGAAAACTGTGCAGCTTACTATGTTATGGGTATTGTTCATGGGGCAGCTACTTATTTACCTGACTTTTTAGACTACTTTTCGTTTAATTTTCCCAATTCACCAGTGAAAATGGAGATTTTGGGAAAGAAAGATATAGAGACAACGACTATGTCAAATTTTCATGCTCAGGTAAGAGGTTATACATTTTACTTTCTAAAGTCATGTAATGGTTTCAAACAACTGTGAATGGGGGTTTTTTAGAATACAGTTGCTATTAGCTGTGCTGTGTGGATGATACAAAAGACTAGGAATAAGGGAATTCTTTAAGTATTGTTAGTTCTGCAATATTAAAGATAAGGAGCCTCTGAACTGAGATAGAAGTTGGACTTCATGGGGGAGGGGGAATGTTTGCATGCCTCTGTGTGTAGGTTTCTTTGGATTTGTTCCTGTGGCTGAAGTGTAACTGTGAAGTTTTGGAGACTTAAAATGATCTAGCTGTGGCTATCTGGGCATCTGAACTGTAGTTTATCTGTATGAACTTCTTCATGAAACTGAAATGCTTTAGATATTAGAACATTATACATACTATGTATGTATTATTATTATACATACTGTGTATGTACTATTAGAACAATGTTATACATAAAGACTTGTGTAGGGCACAGTTAATTAGTTGTATTTGTAGTTTGAGGCTTTTAAATCCATCCTGTAAGGAAAACTTAATGGTGATTAATGTAGCTACCAATTTGATACTTACCCATTTCTCCTCAGTTATAGTCTCTTAAAAGCTGGTAAGTTATGTGTCAAAATGTCAGGCAGCTTTTGAATCTTTTTTTAATTTTATTTTTTATTTTCCAGAGTGAAATGACTGTATGCTCTCTTAACAACAGCTACTGATTAAACATAACCTCTGCTATTTATTAACTTGCTGTGGAAGACACATTACTGTTGCATATAAAGTATTTATATTTCAGGTCTTTTAAGTTGAGGGAAAAAAAGATTTCTAACTCTATTAGATTGCCACCTTGGTGATGAAGGTATTACATAAAGCCCATGGAGATATTCTGAAACAATTTATGAAGAAACTCAGTCCTTTTCTTCAGTATACCAATTTTAGCTCACCATTGCCTGTTTAACTCCCTATTGGTGATTTTAGGTGTTGTATGGGACATCCTTAAACTATTTTAGTCTTCACTTTTTTGACAATTATGAAGAGTACAAGTGTAAGTTATACTGTCATCTTTTTCACGAAAAACATGTTTTTCTGTGGCTAAATATTTGCATGGAACACTATTGCATTTATTGACAGATTTCAGGTATGTGTTATCCACATGGATATGCAGAATTGCAGTGTTGCTGCAAGAGAACACTTGCAGTGCTGGTTAAGAGAGCATCCACTGCCATGAAATATGAATATTCTGTGAAATATATTTGCTGATTTTTTTTTTTCAGTATGTAAACTGAAACATTACTTTAATAGTAAAAAAATCACAGAACATATTATGGGCAGCTACCCAGAGCTGCTCTATCTTAGGTTATTTTATATTACAAAAAAAAAAAAAAAAAAAAGCTGGATCTGTCCTTAAAAGTATGTTCCTTAAGTCCATCAACCTGTTATCTTGGGCAGCACACTAGCTGAGTAGTAGTATCTGCCCTAAAGAAGTAGTTAAAAGCCCAAATTTTATTTTTGCAGATGATAATGGAATTATTTTACTGAAAGGATGGATTAACTTGATATTACAATGGTGTCATCAATATCTGTAGTCAAATCAGTTCTGAGATCATTGGGGTTGACAACCTAATTTCCTGGTTTTCTGTAAGTGAAGGAGGAGCAGAGAGAGAATGTAGTAGATAAAATGAAAGGAGCCAAACTGTATTAGAGCATTCAACTGGTCAACTTCATAGTCTGTCTTCTAACCTATACTTTACTTGCCTGGATGTTTAATTTTGGTATCTGCTTTCCTTTGTTTTCTCTCAGTTTTCCAGTTAGCTTTTGTAGTGTTTTATGACTTGTTAGAGTTTGGTTGCTTGTCAGAAAACACTTGGGTCCTTGTATTTTTGCAAACATAAATGGTGTGGTGTGTATAAATAATGTATACAGGCATACACCAGCCTTATTCATACCATTTTCTGCGCAGCATTGCTGTTTCCTGGAATACTTAAGTCAGTATCTTGGTTGACTAACTATTGATTATATTTTTTCCTTTATTTTTTGGTCTTATTCTGGCTGCTTATTTTGTATTACTCAGGTGATCTGTTAAGGTTCTCTTTAGTATTCTCCCTTCTACTGGGACCAGTATCAAAGGTGTCTGGGAAGGAATATGAGAGTCTAGTTGTCACAGTGATACTGTGTCAGTGCTCATCCTTCAGGGATGTGAGAGGACCTTTTTGAATCTGAGTTGTGAATTTTGTGAATTTTAACCTTCAGCTGTGTCATTGTGTTTAAACTGTGGATTCATTCGTGTCAGTTACCTCTCTTTTTCAGTTTTCTGCCTCTGCTTTCGGTCATAAATAGTACTGAATGATTGTATAACGTTACGTTTTGTGCAGATTGATGATCATCTTCTGACTTGTTGACTTCTTTATGAATCTTTTAAAGGGATTCTAATGTGTGATTGCAGTATATTTCATTGAAATTTAAAATGTAGTTTTCTGTTCCTACATTGCAAAAGCTCAGTGCTGCTGTGCTCCCTGTTGCCCTGAGCTGTCTGAGCAATGTGTCTAGCAGTTGTTGTATAGTCTCAGTTGAGAGGCAAGTTGTTTTCTGATGTCAAAGTAGGCACTTAGTTTTATCAAATCTGCTTTGAGTATCTGTCTCAGCCTTTAAGAGACTTGAGTATTCTGCTAATTTTCACTAAAACACTGAAATGAGGCTCACTTTAGTACATGAGGCTTTTTGTTTTTTTTGAGAATCATTGTAGCCTATGTAATCTGATAAACCTAAGTATTAAAAAAGATTTTTAAAAATATTAAAAAAATAGGAGAAGGAGGGATGAGCTAAGCTTGACATGGAAAGTGTTATAGAGTATTTAATCAGAGTTTTTAATTCTCAAGTTTGATTATTTCAGAAATATTCAGTAATCTTCCACCTCCTGTTTTGTAGCAGATAGGTTTTTTTTTTTGGTTTTAAGTAATGCATATTTTCAAGTCACTTAGTTCTGTAGTAAGAGGCGGATCCCACAGTAAATTCTGTTATCGATATCAAAACTGTTGGGATCCTCCTGAGTCTATCTGGAAAGTCTTAATCTTTAGGTAATTTACTTAGTTTTCACAATTGTAGAGTTGAAAATAAATTCCTCTCAGCTTCCCAGTATACCTGTGTCAACAAAAGTAATGTAGTTTCACTTGTCAAGAGATTAGAAGTTGACAGAAGCTTGTGGAAATAGATTAGGCACGGGAGAGAGGAGTTTGTGTTGGAACTGATGCCATTTCATCAGAATTAGCTTTTAAATTTTGGGGGGATGGAGGAACTGAGGAGTTTCTCAACACCTAGCTTGAGCCTGTGTTTAAGTACTCCTTAACTGATAAATTTTTTTAGGTTAGTGGAACAGCTCTGTCTCTGAACTGTCTGTAAGGCTTAGTCAGACGGTTTCTATGATTGGGCAAAATTGAATTAGTTGGGGTATCCTTGTAGTCAGTAAGTCACTTTTTCAGGCAGTGGAAAACTGTCTGGTGCAGGTACATCCCTGGGCTCCCATCATTTGTGTAGATGGCAACAGCTGTATCGGTTACCTGGTAGCTATGAATCTTACTTGCCAAGCTCTTAAGAGGAATTCAAAGAATGTTAATTATAATCTTTTGCCACCGACTTGCAGCTTACATCACTTCAGTTAAACTATTCAGTGCTGGGCAAGTGCCTCTAATATTTTGAACGCATTACTGTGTCCTCATTCTGGGCAAGTGTAAATTTTTATTGCCTTGTTGAAACCCCAAAATGCACACTTCATGTTTAACCATAACGATGCTTAGTGGATTGATTTTTACTGTGCTTTAGTCTTACCCCAGAGCCAGCTTCCTAGTACAGGTGAAGTAAAATGCTGAGCAATACCCAACAGTTCCTGTGCATCAAGACAAGGTTGACTATTTTTAAGCCGTATCTGACAAATGCTTGTCTGATGTGTTTGCTGGACATCTCTAATTGATACCACATTTCCCAAAGAAATATGCTGAAAAATCTTTTTTTTTTCTTTTTTTTTTTCCCCCTTGTCCTCATATCTTAATCCTCCTGCCAGTCCTTTTATTCTGATCTTTAGTGGACAATGCAGTTTATGCTTTTCTTTCAGGTTCTCTATTTGAAGATTGCTTAACAGCTCCTTTTTTTCCCCCCCTTCCTTAGACTAAGTAATTTGAGTTACTTCAGTCTACCATTCATGTTATATCCTTATCGCTCTTACTGCTCTCCCCTTATGCTCTCTTCAGTCATTCTTATTTTTCTTAAAATACAGTACTGAAGATAGATAGTGTCTGCCTGGTGTATTGTTGTCAGGCAGTGTGAGAAGATTGCTTCAAGTGTCTTGCAAATCACTGCTTTTTGTTACCTATTCTTGCCTTTTCCAGAACAGTTTGTGATCTGCTGTAGCAGCAGCTCCTGCTAAGTGAGTCACTCCCCTTTTCATGTTAATTATATATGAGTGTAGTCCTTTGCTTTCATTCAGTTTGAATTATATCCTGTGTGTTCTGATACTTTCTCCAGTTTATCAAAGATCTTGTTCATTTTGATCCTTTCCTGTAGTAGGCTTGCAGCTTTGTTACCTGCAGGTTTCATAAGCATACATTGTGTTCAAAGGAAAGATTCTTGCTGCATGCCAAAAAATTGGTCCTTTGATGTTGATAGTTATGTGAACACAGACAAATTAAAACTACCCACAATATGCTGTTACAAGACCATGTTTCTGTAGCAGTTTTGAGAACATAGTGCAAATGACAAATAACAAGGTGTACTGGTCCTCTGAAAAACCCTATCCTGTCATATTAAGGAAAAGGTAGTTTGACTTGGGCTTTTTTTGACATGTCCATATTTATTAGCTTTTACCATCTTAATTTCTAGGTGGTTAAGACAGGAGTATCTAGCTAACTTTTTTCTGGAAATTGAAACTGAGCTACATGGTCTTGAACTCTTTTGTGTCTTTTCTTGACACCTGTTTCTTTAAGATGGTGTGGTGGTTTCACCTTGGCTAAATGCCAGGTAC